CCCCCCCCCCTCCCCCCCGGGCTGAACATATGCTCTTAGCGCAGTTTAATTAGTTCTATTCAAGAGTTAATTTTCCTTACTGGCACTACATTATCGTTACAATTTTGGGAATATATAGAATCTATACTTTCAATTTCTTAAGTTTGTTCTGGTTTAATTTCAAGCTGTGAATTTTAATCTTAGCTCCCTATTTTTAATTTTGGAAACTTCGTAGTGTTGATTTGAAGTCCCTATATCTCAATTAAAGTACTTTCCGCTCGTATTGTATGTTAGAAGTTGCATTGTCATATTGTAAACACTTGACGTGTAAAGGATGATACATAAGCAAATGCGTTTGTAAAGCTTTTCTGATTACATTGATTACATCGACGATTACATCTAGATTTGCATCGAGTGCAGATTCAACTTTCTGGGCCGAGTTGTTTAAAGCCCGATTAAGCTAACCCAAGATTAGTGGGAATTTGAATTTCAGATCTGAAACTTTTCAGTGAGGTTTTCTTTTGTCCTTCACTTTTGAGCTTGAGTAATCTCATCCTACACAAGACATAAGAAGTGAAAAGCATTTTTATACAAGAAAAATTATTACTTCGGTTAACTGTTAATCCTGAGTTAGCGTTAACCGGCTTTCGAGCAACCTAGCCCTGATTAAACTACTGCTGGACGAGGTTGTGCAGATCCGTCTCCAGTTTGCTCGACACGTAACAAGGGAGGCAAAGGAAAGAAAGCCTGGGATCAAGGTTGAATCTGTGCACGTTCAGTTGTTATCTAAGGCAAAGTTCCAAAATTCATCATACCAAAAAAAAAAAAAAAACTTCGCATTGTATTTTACTCTATACCACCTTTCCATGAAATCTGTATTGAAAATGTTCTTTTTACGAATCGTACAAGGCCATGTTTTGTTTAGGGAGCGTATCACTGTTTGTCTTTATGGCTCCTGTCTTCCCTTTATAGTCGTTTGGCACTGATGCAACGTGCAATATTCGATTTCAATATTTTTTTTGTTTTGATGAGCTGAAATCTCCATAATAGGAGTTGTTTGTATCAGCCAATTCTCTAAATTTACTTTAAATTGTTCTTCCCCTTAAATTGTCTCAAATAACAAATGCAAACAAGAAAGAAAAAGGCTACAACTGGAAAAACCTGGGCCAAGTTCGACACCAGAACAGCTGGTTTCTAATGACTCAACTAAGCTAATTGTTCGTAAAGCAGCATTATGCAGTCCCAAAGAAGACTCAATATCACAACGTTAAAATCTGTGCACGTTTTGAAGCAAAGTTCAAAAGGGTTCAAGTGAAAGCGTATTGATTATGATCATGGGAGGGATGGGTTGTGACATCTGTTTTTTTCATCGTCCTTGCGCGAGCGCGCGCGTGACTGCCTCTTGCCAACTCCCCAACTTGCCTGCACCTGTTCTTTTATTATTATTTGAAAATCCACATCCACGTTAAAACTTATTGTACTGAAGTACTTTTAAACAAGGTATCATTGTTACCTATTTTGTCACCTACAGAAGCCTATCTATATGACAATAGAAATATCTTTACTCCAGGGAATATTTTTTTAAAGTGTGCACTGTCCCGAACGGCAACCATCTATTTATGCAAATACCGAATCTCGCGTTTGCTACATGTATTAAACAAAACCTACGACCCCACAGTTACGTTCACCAGTTTTAAACTACTGGCACGCTTGTGCAGTTAAAACTTGCGGGCAGGTGTTTTCGAAACTGTGGAAGTTTTCTCCACCTTTGAGTCAGACATTTTTTTTGTCTTTGGGTACGCGTGTCAGACACCTCCTGGGATGTTTTGAAAGTACTTGCCGGGGAGGGGTGAGATAGTACTTTCGAAATAAAGTAAGTCAGCTGATTTACAAGGCTAAAGATGAATTAAATTAATAAAAAACGATATTTAGTATAGGTGCTTTTTTAAAAAAATAACAAGCTAGGTAATTATGAAAGAGAATTTAGACATACTGTGCTTATAATTTTTTCTTCCCTACCGGTCCCCGCAAAGGATGAATGCTGGACGGGCACAAATCACGTGGAAGAAATGTACAAGAACGAGGCATGCGAAGAAAATCTGTTCACTCGCGCTGCAAACGGGCTTCGGAGTGGAACTAATCATTGTCCTTTTCCTAGAGTCAACTTGGTTCAAATCTGAGCAAAATGGGAGAAGCTTATCACCGACCAGACCAGAAAACGCTCCAAGCTTTGAAAGATATGGCTAGCAAGCTTCGAATTCATAGCATCGAATCCACGAATACGGCTGGCTCTGGGTAAATGCATTGAAATATGAAATTCAGATTGACTGAACAAATACTGTAGGCTTCACTTTGAGCCAGTTTTTTCACTCGATTTTTTCTTTGCAGACATCCAACTTCATGCTGCTCTATTGCGGAAATAATGTCGGTTCTGTTTTTCCACACAATGCGCTATAAAGGTGAGTTGCAAAGACGTTTCGCAATCAGCTGAAAGTCTCGTAAATTTGCACGGCAGTGTTACATATCTCAGAGTCTCGTCTCGATATTGCTACATTGTTGAACACATTTTCAAGCCGTGATAATGTGCATCAGCTATAACTTCGGCTGAAAGCTGTATTATAGTAATAATACAGAAAAAGTCACGTTTAATATGTTTGTTTATTCACACTATAAGCTCATGTTGGTGCGGAGTTTCAATGTGCGTGAGTATTTTGCACAGTCATTGTAGTGGAAAGAGGAATTTTAAACTCTTGAATATTTTGATCTCAGCCTTTGTTTCGGCCGATTTCAAATTTTCAGTCTTTAACCATTTAAAGGTACTGTGCTGGTCAAAAATTAATTGCTCAATCAATTGTTTAGAGTTTCAGTCTGGGTAATGATAAAGACAAAATATTAAGCTTGTGCTTAGACTGAATACCTGCTTGAATTTTAAGCAGAGTATTTGAAATTTGAAGTTTACATGTAAGCTGAATAGTAAAACATGTAGTTATGAGAACACTTAAAGTATAGTTTAAATTTAGTTATATTTGTTGACTGAGTACAACAAAAATAAAAATTCCAGAATGTACTATCCAGTAGTCATGACAACATTTAAAACTGTTGGGATTTTAGTGATGAGTGATGTAAAATGTGAGCTAAACTTATAATAAGGAATGTTATTCTCCTTACTTTAATCAGAGGAACAATGACTAACAACAACAACAAAAGTTTGAAACACTGATTGGCAGTTCATTTCAGTCTATAAATTGTTAGATGCAACAGGAAAATCAGTGTTATTTGCCGAATGGATTAATGTCATATCCTTGCAAATACAATTAAATGAAGATGTGGCAGCCAGTAGAACAAACAAAAGAAGCGAACTAGAAAGCGCTATTTACATCCACCAACTTGGAGGTGATGATACCACACTGGAAACTAAATGTTAAATACCTTGGATGACATTTTGTGGTGGGTGGTTGATAGGGGTTTTATTTATAGTATTTTGCTGACAGTAAATTTGGGACTTTGACAACTGGCCGCTTAATAAGGAGTGGCTGCTTAACAGGTGGTCGCTTAATAGAGGTTCAACTGTATCAATGTATTTGCAAAGTTGGCCACATAAATTTCTTATCTTTGAAATATTTTAAAGAAGAGGGATTTATGTCATCAACTTTTGTCAAAAAAGCAGGGAATGCAATTAAATGAGTAGTAACAATAATAAATAACAATAAATAGTCTTCATTGGTTTATGCAAGTTGTTAACTTTGACCTCTCTACTTAAAATTTGTTAAATATCAAATGGAACCAACCAAGAGGTTGTGCAGATGAAGTTGCAAAAAGCTATCTAATCATTTGTGAAAGTGGCAATCATATGTATGCATATGGCATGTGTTACTCAAAATATTGTGCTAAATTTATACTGCACTTTTAAGGTAGAACTTTCCATTTTTAAGGGTCAAATGACCAATATATGTGATAAAAATGGCATTCACTTCATTAAGTGATGTTAGGATAGAAACTTGCTCACTTAATTTGAAGATAAATAATGACTTCATTTTATTTCCTATAATTGACTAATTCTATAAAGTACACCTAAAAGAGCATAAAAACCATTTGCCAATATTTATATTACATGTAGTAACTTTGAGCTGTTGTGCATGAGGAACTGATTACCTGTTGAATATTCATTTTAAAAACAAGTAGTTTAGAGAGCCATTGTTGTTTGAATCCACTTAAGTCATGCAATCTTTGGGCCTGTTTAAGTGTGGTGGCCCTCCTTTATGAATTTTCCTTCTAGAAGGGCTAAATGGCATAGCTCCTTGTAATTTTACTGTTCAGAGTTAAAAATGAGTTATTGATAACTAATTACTGAAGCATGTCAACGTGTAGAGAAACAATAGAGTTATATCTACATTATACATGTTTATTTTGCCTCATCAAGAGAGGTTGTTTACCCGAGTGTAACTACTGTGGAACCCCGTTAATCTGGTCTCCAATGGGCCACAAAAATCTGTCTGTAAAGGGGAAAATGACTGACTGAGCTTTTTTTGGGCCAGAATAAAGTGGCTGTAATAATGAGGTGACCATATTATTGGGGTGGTCGTAAGGCAGGGTTTCACTGTAATATTGTCAATTTCCAGTTTCACCATACATTCTGGTGTGAGATCATCAGTAGGTTAGGATTAATTTCATTCAATATGTGTTGATAATGATGAGATGCCTTTTTTTCAGTGTCCAATCCAAGGGATGCTTCAAGTGACAGATTCATCTTGTCAAAGGTGGGTAGATGATTCTATTGAACTTTATCACACCTCATTCTGTGACTAACTAAAAAATTGCATATCATACCCTCCTTAAGCTTTGAGATATATCCATAAAATATGAACACATTCAAGTACATTCTAGTCATGAACTAATGGTATGACCCTCTTTGCATGTAGTGGAACTCCATCAATTTAACAGTGAGAGTGGTTATGTAAGCTAAATAATGTACTAGATAGAGTGATGGATAATCTTGTGGCCTCTTTACCATCAACTCCTGGATAGCTAGTCAACCCTTCAGTACATTACAGGATGCCCATAATCAACAAGATCATTGTCAGCTAGAACGTAAAAATATGCTAGGGTGCTTGTTAACAGTTATTGTTCTGCAATATTATCTCCAGGGACATGCGGCTCCAATTCTGTATGCAGTGTGGGCAGAGGCTGGTTTGTTTCCAGTGGAGGACCTGGCCAAACTTCGCACAATTGACTCTGATTTGGAGGGTCACCCAACTCCTGTGAGTGTCTTTCATTAGTTTTGTTGTGGGTAACTTAATAGTCATAGACAGAACAATTTTTCTTGGACAATTTTGTTCAAGAGGGGAAAGGTGTAATGAGGTTAACCCTATATGATCGTTGTAGTAATAACCCTTTGATGTTACAGTGTTAGTTTTCCTTTGTCATTTCCAAAACTATTCACAGAGATACCAACTCAAAAAAATCGCAAAGTAGGAGATTATTGATTTTGCTTCTTCTTCACCCCCAAATAACATAGGACGTAATTGAGTTTTGCTGATTCAACCACATAAATAACAGGGTCAAATATCTCTTAAAATGTCCGAAAATCGGCCAAAATAAGTGTGAAAATATGTACTTTAAACCCCACCATTCATATTCAAAGATTCACTGACCCATACTGGTCTGTATTTGGTGACTCCCAGATAATTTGGGAGAGTTGCCATAGGTGTATTCATTGTGCACCATAGAATTACGAAAAATAAACTAAGGTTCTTCGAAATGTCAAGTATTCTGCTTTTTTTCTATAGCGTCTAAGCTTCGTTGACTTTGCCACTGGTTCGCTTGGACAAGGCTTGAGCTGCTCTGCCGGCATGGCTTACGCTGGCAAGTACTTCGACAAAGCAAGGTGAATGTTTATTAAATTACAGCACTAAGTTTGAAGATGGGAAAATTATATCAGCTCTATACAGGTCTTCTGTCTAGATGAAATTATACTTTCAGTTTGAAATTGGCGAGTGCTGAGCTGTGTAGAGGAAATAGTGCATAAGTGCACCATGCCTAATGTGTGTCCTGTCTCTAATAACTACCCTTCCTGGGGTCAATACTTCACTAATAACATAAATCCTCAAATTAGTGCCCAGGGTGCTTATTTCAAATTTAGGAGAAGATGGAGATGCTTAATCAAGGAGGGGCACTTATTTAATTTTCCCAAAA